GGTACTCATGGTACTCATGGTACCCAAGGTACCCAAGGTACCCATGGTACCCAAGGTACCCAAGGTACCCATGGTACTCAAGGTACCCAAGGTACCCAAGGTACTCAAGGTACCCAAGGTACCCAAGGTACCCAAGGTACCCAAGGTACCCAAGGTACCCAAGGTACTCAAGGTACCCATGGTACTCGAGGTACTCATGGTACTCATGGTACCCAAGGTACTCAAGGTACCCAAGGTACTCAAGGTACCCGAGGTACTCGAGGTACCCGAGGTACTCGAGGTACTCGAGGTACCCAAAGTACCGTACTTCGATGGTACTAATACTTTTAGCACTAGTACTGGTACTTAAGGTACTAAGTACTTATGGTACTATAAAGGGTACCATTGTCGTTTTCTCCTCAATTTCCCTTTTTATGTTACCATTCTAGTCTAGTTTCTTAACACAATTTTGAAAATCAAAACGGCGGAGCAAGCATTGCCTATTTCATAGTTGGTATGATGGTCAGATAAACACGTGGCCTTTTGACCGTTTGTAGAATTTTTTATTGTGAGGAAGGATGAATACTGATAAGTTTAGTGGGCCCAATTTCCATGGCGTCAAAGTGGGCGTCAGGGACGGCCCCCCCAAAGGCAGGGCCCGAGAGCAGGCCGATTCCGTCCCCAACCCGGGTGGAAAAGGAAAAAAGAACGTACCTCTGACGGTGAGTCCCTTGTGGGCCAACCTAGAGTGCTGGAGATCTCCAGGACCTGTGCAACCTGTCTGCTCCAATTTGAAATCGGGAAGCCATGTTGCGGTGCCACCTGGCCAAACTGTTCCCACCTTTTTGCTACCCTTCAGCGTGACCAGAAGGCGGGGCTGACCCCAGTCTCCAAGCTGCGGCTCCTGCCCGCATGCAAAACTCATGCATGGTGGGCCAGCCCCTTTGATGACATCACTGATGGCATGGGGGCTGAGGATGAGGGTGCCCCCCTCATGGACAGCCTCAAAGAACGCCAGGTATGTTATCTAGAAGAAGTGTTGGAGATCAAGTTGTGAACAGGACTTCAGAATGAATGTTCACATCGGCTCGCTGTGCTTCCATTACTTCGAACGCATCAGCGGCTGATCGCAAGTTGGAGCGCGCACATGCATAACCCCCTTCCCCCACACACACACACATTCACCTGCCTTCTTGGTCTGTTTTCTGTTCTTTCTGCTAGTATGATGCATCAGCATATGCTGTTAGTACGGCCCCTATCACCTGAATGAAGAGAAGAGGAAAGTGACCGCACTTTGTGCCTTCACTCCTGGGCAGGTGCTGTATGAGGTGGAGAAGGGCCGCTACATTGCTGTGGGCCTCAAACCCTGGCTGGAGGAATACCTT